CCCCGGGCGAGGGCTGGCTGCACGCCCGCGGGCTACGACACCGGCGTCAAGGTGTACAACAGCCTCACCCGGAGGAAGGACCCCTTGATCGTGAGCAACGTGGACGCCGTCTCCTGGTACCCGGCGGGTTGGCGGAGCGGGCTGCTGGGGGAGGTGGGGCGGGAAGGGCTGTGGACCCAGAGTTTGCCCAGGCGGAGGCTCTGCATAGAAAGCGGGGTTGAGTTCTCAGGTGGAAGCATTTAGTAAGTAATAACCTACGTTGGCAGCACCTTTAAAGACAGTGGAATAGTCTCAGTGATTCACAGATTTGACTTAAGCGACTTAAGTGAAATAGAACCCTGGCTGTGCATCCTCCAAAAGTGATTACTTTCTAAAAAGACATGATTAGATGATGATCGTGACTGAGAATGTGGTGACCTTTCTTGCTAGTATGTTTCACATGGTGGATTTTAACTTTGTTCCTAGGTATTCCTGTGGACCAACTGTCTACGATCACGCACACCTTGGCCATGCTTGGTAAGTCTCCTTAATTTGATTTTTCACACTTCAAGAGACCATTTATTTTGGAAAGAAAAAGACTTTTGCAGTTTTTTTTTCATCCCTCAAGTGGCAACTTAAGAATACTGAATAGTTACTCTATTCCAGGGACGGTGGGAAGTATACATGTTGCAGCCTCACGTGCTTCTTGTACCAATTCTAAGCACTTAGTGCCATGTCACAGGTGAGGAGACTCAGGGAGGCAGTGAGGAGCAGTGAAAAGTGACCTGTTTTGGAATCAGATGTTTCTTGTGGGGTTTAATGAGATGTTGGGTCAGCTGGTCATAGGCTATTTCTGGCCCCCATACTTATTTTCTTCCCAGCCTTGAGTCCTGGTTTCTTCATCTTTGAGATGGGGATAATAGTACCCATCTTTCTGAATCTTCTCAATTTTATGAAATAACGCCCATGAAGTTCTGCTTAAGCCAGAACCTGAAGTGGGAAGTGTGTGAGGCTCAACAGTTCTTAAGGATAAGTCACTTGCGGGAGGACACACATTTAGGAAGCGCTGGAGCCGGGGTGGAGCCGGGTGTATCTGACCTCCAGGTGCTGCCTCTCCCCACCTCTTAACTGTAAGCTGCGAAACTGCTGCCACTTTTCCTAATATTTTGTATGTCCTCCTGTACATCTTTTAAACTTGTTATCATTCAGATCTAGATTAAGTGTAAAAAGTTACCTTTATTCAATAGATTTTTTAAATTAAAATTTATTTTTGTGGGAGAGGTAATTAGGTTTTAATATATTTACTTATTTTAATGGAGGTACTGGGGATTGAACCCAGGACCTTGCCCATGCTAGGCACACACTCTACCACGAGCTGTGCCGCCTCCCCGATTCAGTACATATTTTTAAAAATTATATATTAACCCAGCAAGATCTGAATTTTTTTGTGTGCAGTAACAAAGTAAATGGTCTGGGAGTCCTTTTTTCCCCCCCTCAATTTGGGCTAACTTGTTATTAATTATAAAAGGCATATTTTGATCTCTTTATTGAAGTATGAAATACGTTATGGAAATACTAAGAACAGCAGAGGTTCTTGTTTCTCCAACCTAGAAAACCTCTCCACAAAGACAGAAGAAAGCTATTTTATTACTGGGTAAGAACTGAACCGGAATGGGATGCAGTCCCAGGCAGCCTGCTAAAAGTACTACAGAGACAGAACCGCAGTCTTGCGTAGAGCTGGGTGGGCGCAGCTCGCTGGTTCAGGGAGGTCTGCCGCGTAGAGTTGGGCGCAGGCTGGGCCCCTCCCACTGGCTGATGACCATCACCCTCCTTGAAAACTTCATTTCAGAGAGAAGGCTCCCAGGGCCTTGAAACTTTTCTGAGTTGTGAAACTGACAGAGGCTTACTTCGCCATTACAAGCATTTAGGTGCATTTTAAAAGGACTGAGGGAGAAATTCTGAAAGAGGGGGGAGGGGAGACTCTCCCTTGCTTTCAACCAGGAGAATCAGGCCTTTCAGTCATCGTTTGTACTTGCCCTTACAAATATGGAAAAGAGTGCAGACCTCAAGTGAGCCGGTGAGTCAGTGGTCACGGCTCTTACATTGAGAAACAGAACCTTTCCAACCCCCCAGCACCCTCCCTGGGTGACGCGCGCCAGGAGAACCCCCATGGATGTCTCGGTGGTGACAGCACTCATTCCTCAGGCAGAGTCAATTCAGGATGCCTCTAAAGGGCACCATGAGTTCTGCAGAGGTTGTGGGTCTCGGGGGCAGATGGTCAGGCGTGGTCCACTGCTCTTAAGGTAAAGTTTAAAACCCGTTCGCATTACTTACTCTCCAGGTTCCTGTCTCTGCGTGTTCCCTCTGAATAGCCCCAGCAGCCTCTATTTTAAAGAGACAGACACTTAACAGACACAGCACGTGCCAGGCCGGGCTCTGAATGCTTTACAAACACCAGCCTGTGTAACCCTCTAAGCACACCAGCTGGCGGTGCTGTTGTCCCCAAATTACAAATGGGGACGGGATGCAGAGGGCTGTCAGATGCCCGTGGTGCCCCAGCTGGAAAGTGATGAGTGAGTCCAGGTTCCTCCCCTCGCAGCGCAGCCTCAGCTGGCCCAGCCAGCCCTGCGCCTGGACAGCTGGCGCTCCTGGTGCATGTGGGAGTCCCCCGCGGTTGAGGGAGGGGGCAGCCGCCTGCAGAGACCTGGGCCCCGCATGTGACTTGGCTTCTCATCACTTTGTTTTAGGTTCCTGTTAATTTTTCCTCTTAAATCTCATTTCTTGTAGTCTTTCTGACTCAGGACGAGTGAAGAGCGCGGTGATGGTGATGCTAGTAAGCGCTGATGCTTGCTGGAATCCCCGCTGCCCAGGCACTGAGATTATGTACAGCAGCCCTGGGAGATAGTGGAGTTTTGCCCAGTTCATAGCCTGAGGCTTCGAAAGGCTCCGTATCGTGGGAATGGGTTTCGGAGATTGCTTGTCACTGGAATTTGGCCTCAGCTCTGCTTGGGGCTGGTGAGTGTGGGGAGTTCAAAGGTTACAATAACAAGGCTCATTTTCGAGGGAAAATGATTTTATGAACGCAGATTTAGAGAGGCCATGTGGATGACAGAGATGAGCTGGAGATGAGCTGACCGACCCTGAGTTTTAAGGTTGCTTTTATGGGAAACCAGATTTCTGGGGTTCTAAGTAGGTCTTAGGTTTTAAAGCCTTCTGGTTTCGCACGCCTGCGTTACCGCGGTGTGGCCGTCAGTGAGCTGGTGTTTCAGTGTCCTGCAGTCCTGTGCGCAGCTTGGGCGCCGTCCTGCCTGGATCTGATGGGATTGTCCCTGCCTTGATTTGCTATTATTTGCTTCTCTCTCTTGTCCCAGTGAGACCTTATGCTGGGACGTGAGTAGGGATGGTTAAAGTCTCCGTGTCTTGACTTCCTTGTAAGCTTGCTTTTGAGTCGAATTTTTACGGCTGAATAATGACAGCTCTGCAGTAAAAACCGCTCATGTTGTGTCCTGGAGTTGAGGCGGTATCTGTGCCAGTTTCTCACGCAGACTCGTGGGGGCCAGTCAGTAAGAGGCCCTGCCCTCCTCCAGCTGTCCTGGAACCACCCCTGAATCCACGTGCGCGGCGCTACGTGGCATCACGTTGAATATCACGCGCTCGCCTTGAGGATCACAGTGATGACGTCCGGTATTCAAGATGCTCTAACATTTTTTTCCTTTCAGCTCGTATGTGAGATTTGATATAATTCGAAGGATCCTAAGCAGGGTTTTCGGGTGCAACATCATCATGGTGATGGGAGTTACGGACGTGGATGATAAAATAATCAAGAGAGCCAACGAGGTAAGTGCAGGTTACGCTGATGGGTGCCCTGACTGATTAGTGTTCCGACCCCATCTGACGGTTCTAATCTGTGCTTCATGGGACTTCGCACGTCTTACTGTCCACACGTGGCCCAGCGACAGTGCGGATGCTCTGACAGGCGAGCAGAGGGATGTCCTCCTCCTGGCCAAGGACACCTTTACTGAATCATCTCATTCCCCGGAGGCATCCTGGCCTGAATCCAGGCCCTTCCCTGCCCTTCAGCCTCTGGGAAACACCTCACCCCTCTCTACAGAGGGAAGTCAAAAGGCCACTTTGGGGCTCAGGAAATTTAGCCCTTATGAGACTTAATTTTTTCATTTGTTAAGTGAACAGGGCACTTCTCTTATATCTCATGTGGTATTTATTTAGAGGAAGTTTGGGGGGGAAATTCTAACATAGGGCATAAGTAAAATATTACAGTTGTATTTTTAAGCTTCTACTTCGAAAGGTTCACCTCTCCTGCTTTTTATGATCAGCAACTCTGTCTGTAAAGCAATTATATGTATAAGTGTATATGACAGTCATCGGTAAAGATCTATACAGAATTGTTAAATTATCTAATTTACAGAAAAATTTACGTCGAGTGCTTTGCATTCCTGTAACTTTAAAAATGAGAACATGCATATAGTGTTGTTTTAGTAAACCAGTTTATACTCTGTATTGTTTTGTAATCTGCTTTTCCACTCCCCGCGTTTTGAGTGTCTTTTTCATGTTCTTGAGCACTTAGGTAGCCCTAGAACATTCCATCACGTGGACATTGGGTAACTCACCGTCCTCACTTCTGGAGCCTTGGGTTCCTCCCGTGTTCAGTTGTTTTCTCCCAGATTTGTTTCCTAGAAACCATGTCTTCCTGCTTCCCACCAATTTACCTTTTTAATAACTAGGCAGCATTCCGCCGCGGCTGGCGGCTCGCATGTTTCTAGCTGTTACAAAGAGTGCTGCTGTGAGTTTCTTTTTCCCTCCTCTGTTTTGTTTCCTTAAGTATTTTTCCCAAAGTGGAGTTACTGGGTCGGAGGGTGAGCAGTTTATCTGATATGTGCTGTCACTTTTCTTCTGTCGGATCATTTCAGAGAGCGGTACCAGCAGTGCTGACAGGTGGTTCCAACTTGAAACGTGTTTCTTCACCTCCTCAGCGTGGTGGGGTTTCCCGTTTTGTTCTGTCTGGGTGGGTCGGTCAGTGTGTCCTGGTCCCTTACAGTGGCCTCGACCCGTTTTCAGGACTGATGCTGATGCCCCGGGTCCAGGCGCGGGCCTGTGCCTGGCTTTGTGTGAACACAGGTGAGGAAGGCCGTTCCTGGCCCCGCAGAGCTTGTGTCCGGCGAGGTGGGCGGACCACGGACACATGCTCTGTGTGAGACTGGTTTATAAGCCCAGATGACTTGGAGCTTCCAGGCTGCAGGACACAGGGCGCTGCCTGCACCCCCCAGCCCTTCCAGCACCCGTGCTATGCGTCTCATCCACGTGGCTGTTCCTGAGTTGTGTCCTTTATATAAACTGTGGTAGGAGGTGGAGCACTGTCCTGATCCTGGGACTTGTTTTATCAAACCCCTGAATTTGTCATCGGCAGACAAAGTGCCGGCGGCCGAGGACCCTGCTGTTGCCGCGTCAGAAGCGGGGCAGTCCTGTGGGCCTGGGTCCGTGCTACCTCCCGGGAGTTGGTCTCAGAATGAAGTTGAATCCTGGGACCCCACTGCCGGAGTCAGAGGTTGGAGAAGTGGTGGGTATTGGAAAAGACACACCCCGTTTGGTATCAGAAGCCACTGCAGGGCCAGAAGTGCCAGCATTTGGGGTCGTCACCCCATCTCTGGTTCTCTCTGACCCTTTAGTTCAATCCCCCATCTGATTCGGTCTCTGCCCTGTGTCCACATCCCTTGTCTGTGTTTGGTGTCCCTGGGGTCTGTGTCCAGCCAGTCCACCACCTAAGGTGAGGTCACTGACATGGCCGTGGGAGCCCAGAGTCCAGGCAGAGCCAAGGGGAAGCTGGAGGGCGAGGCATGCGACGTCCCTCTGGACCTGCCGGGACCCAGATGGGGGCAGAACAGGGCCCAGGACTCTCCATGGGAAGGTCGGTCCCGAGATGCTGAGTGGGGCGGATGCCAGAGCCCAGCCTCACTGGCCGGACCTCGGACGGAAGCAGCAGGAGGAGTTTAGTGGTCTCCGGCACAGCAGGTGGGGGAGTGGCTGGAAGCGGCGCCGCAGCGAAGGGCGCGTGCAAAGGCAGACTGGCTAAGGAGGAAGGTGGCCGGGTGGGGGTTTCATCTGTCATCTCTCAGCTGGGACCTGAGGTGCGCAGGTGCGTCCCTGCACTTGGTGGGTGGGGGTCAGCTGTGACTCTTCAGAGTTGGAGGTGGAGTTGAGCATCATGGCTGGGGGGGACCCGAGGGGACGAGTGGGGTGTGTTGGGGGGGCAGTGTGGGCCGCCAGCCAGTGGGTGAGAGGCCAGGAGCCCTGGGAGGCGGGGGATCGGGAGGTGGAGGGGCAGCGGCAAATGCAGGAGGAATGGGGGTTTCAGCGGAGTCACAGGTGTACGAGGACCTTGGTTGTTACTTTAAAAAAGAACTTCTGATACTTAGAATACGAAAAAGTTGGTAGAGTTGATTTGAAGATTTAGAGTGTTTAAGTTTTGACACCTGAGCGTTCCCACACTTGCGACATGGCAGGACGCTAATGTGGCAGCAAACGGTCTTTTTAGCTCTCAGGATAGAGTCTTCCTTCAAGATGCTAAATCACGTGCCCAAAACCGCAGTTGTGAGAAATCCTGTTCGTGTTTCAGTCTCCAGCAGAAAGACTGGATACTTTCTACCTGACTTGGGCTGTTTTGGTGATGGTGATACCCTTTGGGCCATCTGCTCCAACTCTTGCTCTTAAAATATTTTAAATTATGTTTCACTTTTCTCAATCACTTCCTTGACTTTAGTTTTTGGCACGGTTTTTTAGTTCGTCAGGGATGAAAACCGAAGGAGGATTTCTAGGGTAAGAATAAAAAGAGACAGGTGTATTTGCATAGTCACATTTGTGTTAAGAAAAGTGATAATCAGTGTCTCAGTGGCTCAAGCCACAGTTACCCTCTGCACATCGGGACACTGGCCTGCGTCACCTTTCTTTCCAGAAGAGGGCTTGACACCCCTCTGAGCGTCGGGGCTGAGCAGCGGGGCCCCCGGCAGGGGAGAGAGCTGTGCCGAGCTCATCTGTGGTGCTCGGGCGAGCTGAAGTAACGGACCGGGGCCTGTTCCGGCACCGCCTCCCGTGGGTGGTTCTGTGGGGAGAGGGCAGGGCTGGCCCTGCGTATGGTGTGATCCATTGCCTAAAAATGACACTGAAAAATTTTACTTCTGGAATATGATTCCCTGTCCCCAAAGCCAGCAATAGATTAGTGTCCACTTTCAGTTCCACATCACTCGTCAGCATCCCAGCTTCGTCCCGAGGGTCGTGTCCGGGGCAGGAGGAGCCACATGTGCAACAGGACATGCTCGGGAAAGGCGTCCTGGACGTGCCGCTTAAAGCAGTGCGTGTGTCCGCATTATCCGAACTGGACAGACTGGTCCTGGGGTTCACACAGGAGAGCGAAAAAGCAAGAATGACCAGAAAAAGTCGTAGAAGAAGTATTGAGGAGGGAGTAGCCCCACCAAATGTTAAAACATTTTAAAAGCTATGGGAAGTTTTTGCTTTCATATATTCTGTCCCTTTTCACACAGCTTTACTGAGGTCAGACAAACCTGGGAGGAATGACATTAGTGCGCACGAGGTGAGGTGTACAGCCTGCTAAACCCTGCCCAGCTGTGAAGCAGCAGCAGTGTCGCGATGGTGACCGTCTCCATCCTCGGCCCCAGGAAGCTCCTCCCTCTGCCCATCCTCCCCCCAGCCCTGCCGCCCTGACCCTGACCCTCCAGTGGGCTTTCTGCCTCCGCGAAGGCTGTGGAGATGAAACATCGTTGTCAGTTACACGAAGAGACAGATGACGGAACACACTAGAAAGCCCAGAAATAGACACAATAAGTGATGGAAATTCATTTTATGATAAAGATGGCATTTCGAATCAATGGGGCAGAGATGAATTACTCAGTAAAAAGTGTTGACAGTTGGGTAACCATCTGGGGAAAGAAATAAACCAAAGTTGAATGTTTGCCTCACAGCCAAATTTGAAGCAGACCAGAGATTTAACATAAAAGAAGTGGAACCACAAATTACTAGAATAAACCTTGAGGCACTTTTTATAGCCTCATGTCGGGGAAGGCTTTTTTAAGTTTGTTTCCAAACCCAGAAGCCATTGATGGGGATAGATTGAGAGAGATAAAAGACTTGCTAAATATAAAAATGAAAATTTTCTGCATGCTGTAAAATAACTATAAAGTTGGAAGACTGAAAAAATGGAAATGCATGCCAGGGATAAAAGATCACTTTTTTTAAAAAAGATTTCCTACAATTCACTGAGAAAAGACCGGAAAGACCTGCAGCTCAGTAGAAAAGTGGTGAATTGCAGATGGTCTGTTGCAGGTGGTCCTTAAACGTGTGAGAGGTTCAAGCTCCCTCAGAATAAGAGAAGTGCAGGCTGAAGGTGCAGCCAGGTATGTTTTAGCCTCCACAGTGGTGAAGTCCAGGCGTCGCCAGCCTCGGGCCGGGGGGGTCAGGTTCAGCTTCCTCCAGAGCTGCCGGCAGCAGCCCGCACAGTGTGTGTGCGCGTGTCCTCCACCGAGGCGTCACGCCTGGGCCTGTAGCTCAGGGCTGTGCCTGCCCGTGTGTGTGAGAGACGGCTGGGCGCTGCGCGGGAGAGGGCGGTGTGAGCTGGACTCAGATGTGGGGCACCGTGTGGCCTTAGCCGAGGAAGCCAGGCGCCAGCCGGGCGCGGTGCGCTGGATGTGGGGGTTCAAGAGGAGGGTGCAAACGCACACATGACCGTGATCATGCTCCCAAGACAACTCGGACAGGGTTTGCCTTCTGGCGGGGGCTGGGCCTGGGCACACTGCTGTCACTTCTCTCTGAAAGAATCAGCCACACAGAGATCTAGAATCAGGTAAACACATCGGGCAGTCTGCGGACCTCTGGGCCCGAATCGCATATCATTTGCCACTTCTGAAGTGGTCTGAAGCGGCACACCGACCCTGGGCTTTCAGGCTTCAGTCTTGGTTGGGCTGTTGTCCTCTGAGTAGGTGTAAGCTGGCTGACTTCTGTTTGAGAGGCCTGCTCTGCCCGAGAGCTGCCGCTCAGAAGGACCGACGTGTCTGCGTGCTGTGTCTGCTTAGAAGTGGCGCTAACTTAGTCTCCGTCCACAGAGACGCCCTCGCCACGTGCACAGGAGTCTAAGGGGCGATTAGGTGGGACCGTCTCCCCCTTGCAAACAAAGTCTGAGGCGGAGAGGTTTACTGTGATGCCCAAGACCATGCAGCCAAAAAGGCACTTTGTTCACTAGGTTTATTTCTTCAGTAAATGTTCCCTGGCCGTGGTTTCCAGGACCATTGCCGTTTGAGGGCCCTGGGCTGGGAAGAAGATGGCTTCAGGGTGATGGGGCTTGGGGTGGCCTTCCACTCGAGAAAGCTTTGAAATCCTCCGTCACGGAAATACCTTCACCCTAAAACGGGGCCTGTCGCGCAGGGCTGCCCCCCACCCGGAGCAGGCGTAGATGCCGGTGGACGCGAGAGGCTCACGGTCCTCACACGGGCTCACAGTGTTGTGCTCCATCCTGGGCGTGTTTTTCTGCCGAACATTAAGACGTGCTTTTGTGAGCCTTGTCAGGTGTGCCATCCGTGCCAGAGTCCGGAGCCGGAGTACTTGTTCCCATGCGCCACTGCATCCAGAATTCGATGTCCTTCTGTGGGGGTTTTGCTTGTCCCCAGACGCCCAGCCGTGGCCCCTTGAATGCCTGTCTCGTTTCCGCTTCTTGTGCTGTGTTGCTGTCAGATGTTTCCGAGAGATTTCCTCATTCGTGTATTTTTGACTTGTTCCCTTTTGCCTGCTGAGGGCCAGGGGAGGAGTGGGAGCTCGAGTGTCTGGTGGTGGGTCGGGAGGGGTGGCCTCGCAGCCCTGGTCCTGGAGGAGCACAGGCTGGTTTGTAGGGTCTGGGGTTTTGCTTTGAGTGATGTAACGGTGATCATGACGTTGTGAGTTCTTTTTCCTCTCTAACCAGGAGACCGGTCAGTGAGCCTTTTTGACTAGTTAAGCGACTGGTGCAAGCTCAGTGCCCGTGAGCAGACGCCCCATCCGTGAGCAGGCCCGCGCGGAGGCCCGTGTGCCGGGCTGGGGCCCGTGCTCGGCGGCCCGGGGAGCCTCTGTGGTCCCGCCGTGAATACTCCAGACTCAGTGCACCTCATCTCTTTGCAGATGAATGTGTCACCTGCTTCTCTTGCCAATCTTTACGAAGAAGATTTTAAACAGGACATGGCAGCCTTGAAGGTGAGTGGGTAGGAAGCTTGAGCGATGGGGCCAGTGGGGCTGACCTCCCTCCGCTTGGAGCTGGGGAAACCGCCATTTCTCCTGTGCTTTCTTTCAGGTTCTCCCGCCCACGGTGTACCTGAGGGTGACCGACAACATCCCGCAGATCATTGCTTTCATCGAAGGAATAGTTGCTCGTGGGCATGCTTACTCTACAGCGAAAGGTCGGGGTCACGCGTTAAAAGTGAAGACTGGGCGGGGCCCGTGGGATTTTGACAAACTGGACACACATCTGTGGGCTGTTGGAACGTGCTGTGAGGTAGTCCTGGGGTGCCAGGATTAGAAAGGGGTGTCTTGTCTTCTATTCTTAATGGAGTTCCTGGGGACTGAACCCAGGGCCTCATGCGTGCTAAGCACACGCTGTGTCGCTGAGGTGTCCCCTCCCCGAGGGTTTCTTTGTTGACTGGTGTGTGGCACAGGGCCCAGAACGGAACACAGGCCGGTGATGTAAACTCACTTTCCTTTTTTCTTATTAAAAAGAATGGGCTTGACGTTTTACAGAGAACTTACACTTGTGTCTTCGCCACGGCCTGATTCGTGATGTGTTCAGTGCGGCTTTTGTAACAGTGTAGTTGTTCGTTCTGGTTTAAAAATGCAGTAAAGGGGCCCCCAGAGGCCGGATGCCAAGTTCTGGGTTCAAGTCCTCACGGTGGGTGAGCTGTGCAGCTTGTAGCGACGTGCGTGTGGACCACTGGACCACTGAGAGGTGAGCTTCACGACTGCCTTCATCGAACAGGCAACGTCTACTTCGACCTGCAGTCCAGAGGCGACAAGTACGGCAGGCTGGTCGGCGTGGCCCCGGGGCCTGTGGGAGAGCCAGGTGGGTGACCTCTGCCTCCCGCCTGGGTTCTGGGGACAAAGCCTGGACCTCCCTGTGCTCGCTGGAGAGTGCGGACGTGCGCGCTCTCAGACGTGGTGACGTTGCCATAAGGGGGTCACAGCCGAGTTTTAAATTTAGTTTGGTTTTTTTGGAGTGGAGAGAAAGCGCAGAGTGTGAGGTTCCGCGGCCTCCCTGCGGA